CTGCGCCACCAGGGAGGGCCAGCACTGAAATTTTTTTAAAAGCTGAGTGCATCTTCCCAGAGTGTTTCATTTTGCAGAATCAACAGTAACCTATCGGCTTGGGGACCAAGTAGGTCTGATCCAGCCCTTTAGAACATTGAAACTAGGTCAGCCTGAAAATCTAACTAGAACTAGACCTCTATAGTTAAGTTTGTATATAAGTTAAATAATATACTGTAATTAAAGTATTGATATTTTAAAATACATTTATTACATTGAATACACATTGAAATACACCCTGGAAAGAAATAATTTCCAAAATATTTTTAAAGTTGTTTCCAGTTGGGTATATAATAATACTTTTTTCTCTTTATACTTTTCAGTACTTTCCAGACTTTTCCAATGAAATATTTTTATTTGCCATCTAAAGAAAAAAATAGAAATAAACACTGATGAAGAATCAAAAAAATAGAAAATTACATCTAGACAAAACAAACCAATGTGAATATACTTAACATTAGCTGGATAGTTATACTTAAATGGTTAACATGGTAAAATGTTTGTATGTGTTTTGCATGATTTTAAAATAATAACATCCAGACACAAAATCCACAAGGCAAGTGCTGCTTTCTACCTGGAGACCTGACCATCTCAGGCACCTTAGAAGGGGGAAGTTGCTAAGTCACGACTGAGTCTCCATTTATTCTGAACCAACAAAGCGCTCTCCTGGTCATGAGCCCAGAAACTACCCTGACATATGCTGTGTTAGTTTTACTTCCCCTTTGCAGCCATTTGGCATTCATCTCTCCCTTTAATCACCTTACTCACCACTGAAGTGGAAAAGTGCACACCTTCCATGTGCACAAGACCACAAGGACCAGCACAAGCTCAGAGCCGTGCTCTAGCGTGTCAGTGTGGCCAGAACAAGGACTGGAATCCACGCCCAGACTTAGCCTCTCACTTCCTCCAAAAAGCCATGCAGACTCCATCTCTCCAGTCCTCGCCATTTCCCAACTCCTTTATCTAGCCAGATAGGTCAAACCAAATGCGGTGGGCGAGCTTTGAGAGGTTGCCTGGACTTCCACTTCCCCTGTATAGGGAAAGCCCCAGAACAGACCCCCGCTCCCACACATTCAGTAGCTGGGACTCTGAAGTAAGAAGGGAGTTGGTAAAAGGTCTGTCTTGTATCTAAAGAGGAAAATTTTACGGGCTTTATTGAACTGCTCAGGGTTTCTAAGAAACAAACTCAACTTTAATTGATGTTTTAGATCAACTCTACCCAGAGTTAGCAATCAAGCAAAATTCAGTGCTCCTTTTTTTTGTTTACAAGTTTTATTAAAATAATAATAATAATAATAATGTGACAGGAAATTAGGATGTCCATGAAGAGTATTCAACTGCACAGAAATAACAAGGGCCCATTTCAACTGGTAAGGTCCTGTCTTCCCACTACACAAGTTAAAAAAAAAGCTTTCTCAATGTGGGAAAGGACAACTTTTCCTCTTCAATGGTGCCAAATGAGTTAGAAAATCTCTGATTTTGTCAATTTGTCCTTTTCTTTCTGTTTTTTGTCTTCTCTCATTCAGCTGAGGCTGCTTCTTCCTTGTGTTTTTTAATCAACTGTTCCACTTCCTTTTGTCTGATGTCTGTCTTTCCATTCTCTTCTCAGTGTGCAATTCCACTTTTCAGCAGTTTACTAACATCCTTGGTCTTTTTTAGAACTTTAATGGCTAAAGCCAGTGCTGACTTCAAACTCATTTTTCCCTCTTTGCAGTCTTGTTTCACTACTGCCACAGCTGCAGCGCTATTATTTGCATGTGGCTTTCCACCCCTATTATTTCCCCTCAGATCACTCTGATAGAGCCGAAAGCCACAGCACTTATACCAGTCAATGGTACAATAATGAAACCCCCAAGGGACTTTTCCCTGCAAGTTGCATATGAGCTTGTTTGACATCACACAGTGCTGTAACCAAATGCTCACAAGGAAACGCCTGCCGATGCTGTACTACATGCCTCTGACACTGGGCCTCAGGTCACTTGTCAGAACATTTGCATCAGAAGTCACACCTGCCACACTGCAAAACTCATCCTCACTGAATTTATAAGTTCTTCTGGAAAATAAAAATGTCATCAAGAAGCTTGTGTATGTTGCCTCTCTGGGGTAAACAAAACACTATGACTTGCAAAAATCCCCACAAGACCAGTTGTTTCCATGGCGTGTTAGACTTGGCACAGCAACCTTCTGGGGGAAAATGTAGGGGTCCTGGAGTCATATCTTCCAGACATGTCTTATCTGAATTTTATGAAATGCTGGAGGGAAGACATTGAAGAGAAACTCTGAGAGAGAAAAACTGAGTATCCACTGTGAATGTGCTCCACCCTACCACATTAGTTTTTTAACAGGGCAAAGTTTTAGAAACTCAGATTTACATAAAAATGAAGAAAACATAATAAATTCTTCTTTTTGGAGAGGCACAACAATTGAAAAGTATGGATTGTAGAAGTGAATGATGGCCAAAAAATCACCTTGAAACATTAAAAAAATGCAATTATTGATTATTACTATGATTATCATCAATTGAGACCTAGTAAGTCTCAAACTGCTTCAGGTCCTTTTTGTACACAACAGTCAGTGTTCAAAA